ACCTTCCAGTAATGCTGATTGTAGATAACCTTGATGTATTATCACTTGACACCAGATTATTGAACCCATTGTAAAACAATTAAAAACTTCACACAAAACACGGGGGGGGGGGGGCTGTATCATAAAGTCTGTCATTGAGTCGACTGGCGTGGTTTCGAATCCCCGGTTGTACGTGGCAAGGAGTAGGGTCGACTGTCCAACCTCGTGGGTTTTCTCCGGTTTCCTCCCACTGCTAAAGAGCTCTACACGCAAGCGAATTATGTAAATAAAATTAAACCATATGTTAATCCCGAAATGACCTAGTTTGTGTCGAGTGGACGTTAAACCCCATTTCTCCCTCTCTCTCTCTCTCTCTCACACAAAACACATGTAAAGCTGCAGATCTTATACCAAGCCACATGTTGGAAGAGTCAGAACTGTCTATTACCACGCTGTCTATTACTGGACCCCCAACAGCTCCTGGTTGCCATACTTGACCCCCCACAGCTCCTGGTTACCATACTTGACCCCCCACAGCTCCTGGTTGACATACTTGACCCTCCCACAGCTCCTAGTTACCATGCTTGACCATCACAATTCACAACCGCTGGTTACCATGCTTGACCACCACAACGACTGGTTACTAGGTTTGACCACCACAACAACTGGTTACTAGGCTTGACCACCACAACCGCTGGTTACTAGGCTTGACCATCACAACCGCTGGTTACTAGATTTGACCACCACAGCAGTTGGTCGCCAGGTTTAATGACCAACACAATTAATCTGTTGTTTGAAATGGTCAACCGGGGGGGGGGGGGGGGGCCGAATGGTTAGCGCATACATGTTGTATCATTAGGTCTGTCATTGAATCAACTGGTGTGGTTTTGACTCCCCCGTTGTATGTGACAATAAGTAGCGTCGCAGGAAACTGTGGCAAATCCTTTGATTGACAGATGGAATTCGATATGAGAGTAGGCCATAGTGCTGCTGTCCGGGCAAAATTCCCCTCATAGCACAATGTATGGCTAAGCATGTAATGATTACCCCAGTTTGACGGATAGAGTGGACATTAAACACCCTTTTCATTTCATTTCCTTTTTTTGAAATCTTAAGTGTATGCTACAAAATAAGGTCAAATTTTTAAAAAGTATAAAATTAATTAACAGAGAATCTTTCTTCAATCGTTGAATCGAAATTTTTCACATGTAAAGTACCGTAATAAAAAGAATTGCTTTTAGGCTATTAAAGAAATGATTTTTTTTACCTGTTTGGTTTTTTTTTTACCTAATTGGTTTTGTACCTGTAATTAGTGCGGTTATCATGAATAGCAATCTGTATTTTGTGGTTTATAAGAAAAATAATTACCTAAAGAATTTTAAACTTGTTTTTAAATCTCTTTCTACGAAATGAAGAGGTTAGAAAGATAGAAAATATTGTATTATTTTCCGTAAGCAGCTTAAAGCGTTATTATTTGTTTATTTATTTTCTTGTTGGGTATTTTAGATAGAATTAAAATTCTTCTTCTCAATAAAATTATGTAATTCTTAAACAATATGGTTTTTTTGGAGATAATGCTTTTCTTTGGAAAGGTCACAATGTAATGACATCATAAACGTGAACTGATGGATCTGTTGTGAGTGTATTTCATTATCGTCATTTGAATCCTTCTCTTTGTAACTGCATCTAGTTTTTTTTAATCCATTCAGCTCAGCCTCGTGGGATTTCTCTGGGTCCTCCGGTTTCCTCCCACAGCTAATTTAAAGATCCCTACGCACAAGCGAACAATTGAACTAAAATTTGGAATAACTAGTCGACAAAGACTGCCATTCAATTGGGACTCTTTGCGTATTTCGCCGAATATAACTGATTAGAAATTAGTGTAAAAACAGAAACTATTGAATGTAAATCAGTTTATATACATTCATATTACATTATTATATGTGTTGCGACCCTTTTGTGTCCATTTCTAGGTGCCAAAGAATAAGGATTTAGCTCCTTTAAACTCCATTTCATTTCTAGATGCCAAAGAAGAGGGATTTAGCTCCTTTCAACCCCATTTCATTTTTAGTTGCCAAAGAAAAGGGATTTAGCTCCTTTAAACCCCATGTCATTTCTAGGTGCCAAAGAATAGGGATTTAGCTCCTTTAAACCCCATGTCATTTCTAGGTGCCAAAGAATAGGGATTTAGCTCCTTTAAACCCCATGTCATTTCTAGGTGCCAAAGAATAGGGATTTAGCCCCTTTAAAGTAATTAAAATAAAAGCACCTGTCACAAAGACAATTTGAAGCCATAATCTCTCTCGCACCTGTCATTCTTGGCTCGTACAGATGCATCTATGTTACATCATAAGTTCTGTCGTCGAATCAACTGGTGTGGTGTCGATACCCAGATCGTATGTAACAAGGAGTAGGGTCGCCTGTCAAATCTCAAGGATTTTCTCTGAGTAATTCCTGTTCCTCCAACTTTTAAAGATCTCTACGGACAATTGAACTATTGAAATGAAATTGTACCATATGTTAGTCCTGAAATTACCTGTTTTGTGTTGTAAAGATGTTACCCCATTTCTCTCTCTCTTGATATCAATTTGAAATCAGGGATGTATGGTGTGTGTATTGAAGGATTTGTGCGATTCTCATATCGATAATCTGTTTGTTGAGGTCTGCGGGTTCGAGTAAATAAGTTTGAATTTTGTGTGATCAGAGCTTGGGGTGTCTACATGTGATTTCAATTATACATTGTTCTGGAGTTGTCTAGTATTAAACTTACAAATCTTTGTCTGCTTTTAAAAAAAACGCTTCCATGTACTGCAGTATGGTGTTTAATATTCTTCCTTTCAATCCAGATTTAGTTTTCAATCAAAGTGTTTAAATTTTTTTTGACATATTTTTTTTAAAAATTTGGTTTATTATGTTCTGAGAATCAATTCTAAGTTAAAATCCATACTTTACGAATGGCCGTTTGCTATGGTAACCAGAAATACTAATATTAACTTTCAATAGATTATTATCAACTCAAGACAGAAAGTTACAAGTTTATCTTTTAAAGTTTTACAAGCTATTAGCTGGAGACAAATTACTGAATACTGTTGTATACGGCAGGAGTGAGTATTGAGTACTGTATTATACGGCAGGAGTGAGTATTGAGTACTGTATTATACGGCAGGAGGGAGTAGTGAATACCGTATTATACGGCAGGAGGGAGTAGTGAATACCGTATTATACAGCAGGAGGGAGTATTGAGTACTGTATTATACAGCAGGAGTGAGTATTGAATACCGTATTATACGGCAGGAGGGAGTATTGAATACTGTATTATACAGCAGAAGGGAGTATTGAGTACTGTATTATACAGCAGGAGTGAGTATTGAATACCGTATTATACAGCAGGAGGGAGTATTGAGTACTGTATTATACAGCAGAAGGGAGTACTGAATTCCGTAGTATACGGCAGGAGGGAGGAGTGAGTACCATACTAGACGTCGGGAGGGAGTACTGAGTACTGTATTATACGACAGGATGGATATTTTCTATTCCCTAGAGGATCTATACACTGTATGTAACCAGGGTATCATTTAATCTTGTGTATTTAGCATTAATTTCTTCCACATTCATTCAACATCAAATCTTTGTTTTAAAATTTGTAAAAATCGTTTTAAAAATCATCTAATTTGTACTTCTGTCCAGTTTAAAGCTGACAATTCAATTTTGATATTAAGTGTTCAATATACAAGTGTTTAATATCTCGATCACTGTTAAAAAATAAAAACCCAAATTGATACACACTAATACTGTAAATAAATATCTTGATGACAACTTGTCAAAACTTTGTGAAACGTTGCAGAGTAATAAACCATAGTAATTGTTATCCATAAATAGTGTTTTATTCGAGAAGTGAATTCGATCCCTGCATTGGTCGAGAAAGTTCATCTGGATTTTTCGACGTGGTTTCCCCTTGTCAGTGGTGCAGAACGGAGGGTCTGACTAGGACAGCTGTCTAGTCCTTCCGATGATACGAAAACCGAGGTCCTGTGTATACATTGGAATGCACGTAAAAGATCCCTTGGCAGTTGGAATTCGATATAAGAGTAGGCGATAGTGCCGCTGCCCGGGCAAAATTTCCCTCATAGCACAGTGTATGGCGTATGCCCGTCTTCCTTAGCCCAGTATAGGAGCAGAACAGTAGGACGTTAAACCCCATTTCATTTCATTTCATTTCGAGAAGTGAAATGAAATGAAATTGGGTTTAACATCCTACTGTTCTGCTCCTATACTGGGCTAATGAAGATGGATATTCGAAAAGGTGTATGTATTTATTGGTAATGTTCATGATGCACAATTAACTACTTTTACCTATTTATACAGAATCTGTTTATCCTTAGTTTTAGGGAAATTGTCGTTTTATGTTTTAAGATTTTTGAGTTTAAGATTGTGTATTCTACCAGGGTTTATTATTTTTATTGGTCAGAGTTCCATAATATTTTTCATGGGATTAATTAATATTTGGGGGGATTAATCAAGTTGTATTTCCGAAAGATTGATTGAGTTGTAGTGTTGAGGGATTATTCGAGTTGTAGTTTTGAGGATTAATTGAGTTGTAGTTTTGAGGAAATAATTGAGTTGTATTTTCGAAAGATTGATTGAGTTGTAGTTTTGAGGGATTAATTGACTCATAGTTTTGAGGATTAATTGAGTTGTAGTTTTGAGGGATTGAGTTGTATTTTCAAGGAATTGATTGAGTTGTAGTTTTGAAGGATTAATCGAGTTGTAGTTTTGAGAGATAAATCGAATTGTATTTTTAAAAGATTAACCAAGTATTATTTTCAGTGGATTAATCAAGTTGTTTTTTACAAGATTTTTTGAGTTGTATTTTCATGGGATTAACCGAGTTGTATTTTCACATTTTGTATTTTTGAGAGATTAACTGAGTTGTATTTTCAGTGGATTAATCAAGTTGTATTTTACAAGATTTTTTGTATTGTATTTTCATGGGATTAATCAAATTGTATTTTATTCTTCAGGCGGAGATGATGTACAGCAATTATGTGAAGCAGGAGAAGAAGAATTCCTGGAAATAATGGCACTTGTTGGCATGGCGAGTAAACCATTACATGTACGCAGATTACAGAAATCATTACAAGAATGGGTGACTAATCCAGGTACGTACAGAATTTCAAGTTCTTCCTTCGGAAGGGCTGTTAGCTGACCGAATGGTTCCAGACGTGCTCGTTAGATCACAAGGTTTGTCATTGAGTCAAGTAGTGTGGTTTCGATTCCCTGTTTGTAATAGGGAAAGGAGTAGGGTCTTGGGTTTTCTCCGGGTCCTCCGGTTTCCTCCCACTGCTAAAGACCTCTACGCGCAAGCGAATTATGAAAATTAAACCATACGTTAGTCCTGATATGACCTAGTTTGTGTCGAGTGGACGTTAAACCCCATTTCTCTCTCTCTCTCTCCTTCCACTGCCAAAGACCCCTATGCGCAAGCGGATTATTGAAATAAAAATTTAACCATATTATGTTAGTCAGTCCCGAAATGACCTGATTTGTGTGAGTGGACATTACCCTCCTCTCTCTCTCTCTCTCTCTCTCTCTCTTTCTCTCTCTCTCTCTCTCTCTGCAAATCATTTTATTTTGAGGCTAACTATTCAAATTGAAGTCTGATGTGAAGGATGTCGTGGACCCTCAATGCACAAGTTCTGTAACTCTACTGCTTATGTGATTCTAAGGGCAACTGAGTTCGATGATATATAAATGGAGGGAGAATTACTATTTTGTCAGTTTTCAACAGTATTTTCCATTCCTTTGTGTTATAAAAATGAAAATGAAATGAAATGGGGTTTAACGTCCTACTGTTCTGCCCCGTTGTCGCGGGGATCACGTGGCTTAGTGGGTGAGACACTGGCGCGCTAGCCTGGAGGTCGGGTGTTCAATCCCTGCATTGGACGAGAAAGTTCATCCAGATTTTCCGGCGTGGTTTCCCTTTGTCAGTGATGCAGGAAGGAGGGCCTGACAAGGACAGCTGTCTAGTCGTTTGGATGGGACAAAAAACCAAGGCCCCGTGTACACATTGGCGTGCACGTAAAAGATCCCTTGGCAGTTGGAATTCGATATAAGAGTAGGCCGTAGCGCGGGCAAAATTTCCCTCATAGCGCATGCCCGTCTTCATTAGTCCAATTTAGGAGCAGAACAGTAGGACGTTAAACCCCATTTCATTTTTATGTTGTCGCCAGAGGAAGTCGAATGTTTTCCAATTTTCAATTCATCATATGTTTGTAAGAACTCGATGGAATTGAACCATAGAGATTCAACTTTTTGATGAAACTTAAAGCGGAAATTGCAAATTTTTTAGTTAGATTTTTAAAATTTATCAAAATAAAGCCTGAAAATAGATGGTATCCATAAACAGTCCTACCTTGTTAAAGAATAATCCTATTAATCTTATAATTCACTATTGCCAGCTGAGAAATTGGCAAAAATATCATTTTCCTCTTCATTTTCAAACGTTTGAATATCGCTACTCCATGGTGGAGAATAGAAACAAGGGAGGTAATTGGGAGGTAATTTTGTTATTATTTCCAGTGTAAAGATGTGTAAGTGTGGGAATGACACCTATGATCGTATAATTGTGAGTTGACAACCTATTGAGCAAAAGACATAGAAATAATTATGTTTTGACTTTCTTAGAAAATTTGCAATTTCCACTTTAAAATATAAGTTTTTATCCCAAAGATTTTGGTTCCTCTTAATACTGTATTAGCACAGATTTTAACAGTCGATGTGAAGCATTAATTGGGACAAAGAATGGATTAAGCCTTTCATTTTCCCTATACTCCATCCATGTGGACAAAGAATGGATTAAGCCTTTCATTTTCCCTATACTCCATCCATGTGGACAAAGAATGGATTAAGCCTTTCATTTTCCCTATACTCCATCCATGTGGACAAAGAATGGATTAAGCCTTTCATTTTCCCTATACTCCATCCATGTGGACAAAGAATGGATTAAGCCTTTGATTTTCCCTATACTCCATCCATGTATTGAAAAATGTGGGCATGTATTAAAAAATGTGGGCATATCTTGCATGGCATTGTTTAGCAGTTGTAAAAGATTCAACTTCCACAATATTAAAGTTTGTAAGGATTAACAATTCTTCAAATTACGATCCGCAGCTTTAGCAAAATTCTCTCCCAAATGATCTTTAATGTCCTACTATTCTATTCTGGGCTAATGAAGACGGAGAGCCATGGTGGCTATGTGGGTAAGGCGCGTGTTTGATCCCTGCATTGGCCGAGAAAGTTCATCCAGATTTTCCGGTGTGGTTTCCCCTTGTCAGTGATGCAGGACGAAGGGCCTGACAAGGACAACTGTCTAGTTGTTCGGATGGGACAAAGAAAACGAGGTCCCATGTACACATTGGCGTGCACGTAAAAGACCCATTGGCAGTTTTAATTTGATATAAGAGTAGGCCGTAGTGCCGCTGTCTGGGCAAAATTTCCCTCATAACACACTGTCTACGTTAGCCCAATCGGAGCAAAACAGTAGGACGTTAAATCCCATTTCGTTTCATTTCATTTCATTTCTAAAGAAGACAGGCCTTTAATCATGTTTAGGGACCACAAAATAACAATGTTACTCGTTCATATTGTTTTAAATTTATTCAGGTTTTTTTTGGTTAGAATACAACAATAGCTTTGTAATTATGAATATTTTATGAATTTTTAAAAAATTGTATTTTTCCTTGTATAAATGTCAGAAAATGAAGTGAAAACTGTTAACTTGTTGTTGTTATATCATAGTTTTCAAGTTTTACTTCCTGTTAAAGTTCGTTTTTAAAATAATATCAGCATAGATTTTAGTTAGGGTAGAAAAAGAAGCGTATTTGAGAAGAAAAACGTGAATGTAGCCCAGAGAGATAAATTCAGCTATTCACATTCAGTTGTCAACCTGTCTTGCTTGTCTGACTCATATCCTGCGTAAATTTTTTTGGTTACTTTCAAAAACTATTATTTTGTTAGCTTTACTTGTATGGTAGACATTTTCATTTTTGGATATTTTTTTTTTAAATTTAAATATTTTAAAAAAGTTTTAATTTTGGATATTTTTTGTTTTAATTTTGAATTTAGATATTTATAAAAAAAATTATATTGATTTTTGAAATGTTTTTCAATTGTTTTTTTTTTTAAATTCGCTGTAAATGTAAGAAATTTTAATTGTGGTATTTTAAAAAACATTTGGTTTCATTTTTGGATATTTTTTAAAATTTTGATTTTTGAATAGATTCTATTTGAAAAAAAATATATATTGATTTTTTAATTGTTTTTTTTAAAATTTGCTGTAATTGTAAGAAATGTTATTTTTAAAAAACATTTTGTTTCATTTTTGGATTTAAAATTTAATTCATTTTTAAAATTCTCTTTAAATATAAGTAATTTTATTTTTGCTATTGTTTTAAAAAGTTCTCTTTAGTTGAGTTATCATTTCCTTTATAGTTGAATGAAAAACTTTTGTAATATGCATGTGTTACTTGGTCCACAAAACAAGAAAAACGTAAAATATTTTTTTGAATCGTAGATGATTTACAAAATTTAAAAAAATATGTTGAAATTATTTGCTGTGTGGTATAGTGTTTGCCAGGTAGAGCAGATAACTTGATTGTACAGACTAGCACAAATTTCTTCAAATAATTATCTGTTCAAACTTTGGAAACCGTATTTTTTTTTAGTGGATGTTTTACTCAAGATTCATAAAGTTTAATTTCGGAAGTTTTAGTGTTTTACGATCTTTGTTTTCATGTCACGATGAAGATCAATATTAGATACCTGTGTTTGTTAGATGGTTAGATACTGGTAATATGTTGTAAACTATGATACACATACCTGTAATATATTATACACACCTGTAATATATAATACATATCTGTAATATATTATACACACCTGTAATATATTGTACACTACATACCTGTAATATATTATATGCTATGATACACACTTGCAATATATTATACATACCTGTAATATATTATACACTATAATACACAACTGTAATATATTATACACTAGATACCTGTAATATATTATGCACTATGATACACACCTGTAATATATTATACACTCCTGTAATATATTATACACACCTGTAATATATTATACAATCTGTCTTCACAATCACAATACTGGGAACCATATTTATACAGAATAATGAACTACCAAAGTGGAGTCCAATTATCGTTAGCATGTGCAGGTGAGGCCAATGATATACAGGCAAAAGACTCCTTAAATTCTTACTTCATCTCAAATGTCCTAAAATGGTTATTTAGTTGTAAAATGAATATTCTTGTATTTGCAGGTAGTTTCCAGAACACAACTTCCACCAACCAGCCACCTGCTGCTGGTAGCATTACAGCCGTCATGAGGGACCAAGCCATGAATTACCAATTACATTCCACGACACCCAACTCGGTAGTCAACGCCCCTACTTGGAACCCCACACCCCGTAGTATAAGTCCAGCTAGTCAAGGGAATGCTGTCAGCCCCTCCTCGTCATCCCCACAAACGGATCAAAAAGATTCTATTTTATCGGTAAGTAAATGATGAATTATTTATGTCTGGTAGGGACACATCAAAACGACTCGTTGGTTTATTTATGTCTGGTAGGGACACATCAAAACGACTCGTTGGTTTATTTATGTCTGGTAGGGACACATCAAAGCGACTCGTTGGTTTATTTATGTCTGGTAGGGACACATCAAAGCGACTCGTTGGTTTATTTATGCCTGGTAGGGAAACATCAAAACGACTCGTTGGTTTATTTATGTCTGGTAGGGACACATCAAAACGACTCGTTGGTTTATTTATGTCTGGTAGGGACACATCAAAACGACTCGTTGGTTTATTTATGTCTGGTAGGGACACATCAAACGACTCGTTGGTTTATTTATGTCTGGTAGGGACACATCAAAACGACTCGTTGGTTTATTTATGTCTGGTAGGGAAACATCAAAACGACTCGTTGGTTTATTTATGTCTGGTAGGGACACATCAAAGCGACTCGTTGGTTTATTTATGTCTGGTAGGGACACATCAAACGACTCGTTGGTTTATTTATGTCTGGTAGGGACACATCAAAACGACTCGTTGGTTTATTTATGCCTGGTAGGGACACATCAAAACGACTCGTTGGTTTATTTATGTCTGGTAGGGACACATCAAAGCGACTCGTTGGTTTATTTATGCCTGGTAGGGACACATCAAAGCGACTCGTTGGTTTATTTATGTCTGGTAGGGACACATCAAAGCGACTCGTTGGTTTATTTATGTCTGGTAGGGACACATCAAACGACTCGTTGGTTTATTTATGTCTGGTAGGGACACATCAAAACGACTCGTTGGTTTATTTATGTCTGGTAGGGAAACATCAAAACGACTCGTTGGTTTATTTATGTCTGGTAGGGACACATCAAAACGACTCGTTGGTTTATTTATGTCTGGTAGGGACACATCAAAACGACTCGTTGGTTTATTTATGTCTGGTAGGGACACATCAAAACGACTCGTTGGTTTATTTATGTCTGGTAGGGACACATCAAAGCGACTCGTTGGTTTATTTATGTCTGGTAGGGACACATCAAACGACTCGTTGGTTTATTTATGTCTGGTAGGGACACATCAAAACGACTCGTTGGTTCATTTATGTCTGGTAGGGACACATCAAAACGACTCGTTGGTTTATTTATGTCTGGTAGGGACACATCAAAGCGACTCGTTGGTTTATTTATGCCTGGTAGGGAAACATCAAAACGACTCGTTGGTTTATTTATGTCTGGTAGGGACACATCAAAGCGACTCGTTGGTTTATTTATGCCTGGTAGGGAAACATCAAAACGACTCGTTGGTTTATTTATGTCTGGTGGGGACACAACAAAACGACTCGTTGGTTTATTTTCAATCATCCTGATTAAAATACACATCTATATTTCGTTTCGTTTTTTTATACTTTCTATGGCATCTACTACATGAAGATCTTACAGATTGAAGTGAAAGGTTGCATCAGAAGTCATACGAGCAGCTTTTGACCCTATGACATCAGACATTTAATTAATCAATCAGCATTGATGTTACTAGTGGATTACCAATTATTTCGTGCAACTCACGCCAAAGACTCGCCGTAACAGACCGTTTCATTGGCTAATCCCTCACATTAAACAGAACGCGTTTGAATTTTAGGTCTAGCCTCGATCATCATTACTAAAGTTGTTACGATAAAAAACATAGTCTCGATTATCCATTTTTTGATTTAATCATCAATGAGCATTGAGCAGCAAATCAGATTCAAATCCAGAGAAAATCTGACACACAAGATGACATCGAGAGTTGATTAAGGTCTTTTCATGTTAATTAATGCCTAATTAATAATTTATATAACATTTCAGGCCTAAAGAAAGACCTGCAGTAGGAAGATTTAGCTCTCTGGCATAATGCATGTTTAATTGTCATTTAACTTTTCAGTCACATCTCCCTCCATTACCCAATCTCTCCTCCCTGTCACCCATGATGACTCCAGTTCTCGTAGAAAGTCAAATCAACGCTATCGCTGATGCTGCCGCCAAATTTGCCAAGGAAATGACAAATTATGAACCAAAAGATTTAAATTTGAAGAAACAAATTAATAGAGAAATACAGGTATTGTTTATTTTTAAATTTTCTTTTTAAATTCCAGGGGGTTGGATGGTCGAATGGTTAGCGTGTGCATGTTGTATCATAAGGTCTGTCATTGAGTCAGCTGATGTGGTTTCGATTCCCTGGTTGTACGTGACAAGTAGTGGGGTCGTGGGGTCATTTGTCCAACCTCGTGGATTTTCTCCAGGCCTCTGGTTTCCTCCCACTGCTAAAGACCCCTCCGCGCAAGCGAATTATGTAAATAAAATTAAACCATATGTTAGTCCCGAAATGACCTAGTTTGTGTCGAGTGGACGTTAAACCCCATTTCTCTCCTCTCTCTCTCTCTCATTTCCAAAAATTTTGAAGAAAACGAATCAAAAGTATTATTCTGATCTAACTTTAAAAACTGTTTTGTCATTTTATTTCAATTTTTGTAATTAAAAAATCATATCCTTTATTTCAAAATTTTATATAATTATTTTCTTTTGACTTTCAAAATCATTTTCGACAACTTTTTTTCCGGATATACGTATTCTTCATCTTGTAGTGCTACAAAAACAATGTTAAATATTTGTTTTCAAAGAAATCTGCGATATTACTTCCTGTTTTTTCTGCACATTCTTTGTTCCCGAGATAATTCTTTGTGACGTTAATTTCAAATTAACGTCTTCTCGCAAAGAAAAACAAATTTTCTTTGAGTCTGTATCTTTGTGTTTGGTATTGCTTTTTAAAAAATAATTTCAATTCCAACTTGGTTACTTCGCAAGTTTTCTTTGCTTTTTCATCTGTTCTGCAGATTTATCAAAAAATCCTGATTTTCATAATCTTTCAAATTGACAGCAAGTGCTGTAGACTAGAGTTACCTCCCTTGAGACTTGAAAACATATATATTTTCTCACTTTTCCTAAATAAACAACACTGCTAAACATTGGTCTGGTAATTTAATTATTGCCGCGGTTAATTAATTGTTTGTTTCCCAGGTCATGAGAAACTGACAATTAATTAACCGTGGCCTTATTGCCGAGTCTTGCAGTTGCGTTAGAGGCTGTTGTTGGGGTTAGTACCTCTCAGACATGACTCAAACGATATCACTCACGACGGAACGAGGAATTTAACCCACACAAACCAACCTTTAATTTCGAAATGTTGAGATCACCCACAAAGGAATATCAAATTTGGTAAAAAGAATATTAATCAGTGACCATAGAGACTGAATTTTCTGTAAATATTGTAATTTTAAAATTTTGTTTTTGCTGATGGTCGATGGAGCTAGCTGAGAGAATTAACCAGGAAGAAGTTTTCTGTTTTAATGGCTTATAAATTAAAACTGAAATCACTAGAATCCATTCGTAATGTTTTTTAGATTATATTTTAATCTTCAAATTCTTCTTTCTGATTTAAAGTCTTAATATCTTAAGGTGATTAGGGACATATTTTTTAAACATGTAATGGAGAGAAATAAATCATTTTCAATTTAATGTGTTTAATTTAAATTAGAGAATAAACTGTGGTTTTTATTTATGTTGTATTAAATATCTTTTTGATTATTTCTTAAATAAAACAAAACATTATCTATTTTTATATTTCTAAAAGAAAAAAGTATAAAGAGATTGTTTTTTCTGCTGGACTTTTCTTTTTTTTTTTTATGTATGTCCAGATTTAAGTGGTTAAAACTATCTTTTATAGTATTTAACGGTTCGTAAAAACGTACTTCCTCAAGAAAACACATGTACGCAAATGTTATTCAAATGATTTTGGATTTTTTTGGTCTTTATTTTGATTCAGATTTGGGTCGTGTGTTCGATACCTGCATTGGCCGAGACAGTTCATTGGGATTTTCCGGCGTGGTTCTCCCTTGTCAGTGGTGCAGGACGGAGGGTCTGACAAGGACAACTGTCGAGTTGTTTGTCTTGTCAAAATTTCCCTCATAGCACACTGTATGGCGTATGCCCATCTTCATTAGCCAATGTTAGGAGCAGAACAGTAAGACGTTAAACTCCATTTCATTTCATTTCATTTTATTCAGACTTGATATGAAGTATAATGTCGTCAGTCCGGCATCTGGCGTCATTTGGAATATTTGACATGTCAGATTTCTGGATGAACTTTCTGTTTTGTTTGACCAAATGGTCAATGTGTGCGCGTTGCATCACAAGATCTGTCATTGGTTTCGATTCCTCGATTGTACGTGACAAGGAGTAGAGTCGCCTGTCCAACCTCATGGGTTTTCTCTGGGGTCCCGTATACATATTAGCGAGCACATAAGAGTATAATTCTGACATTTGATTTTTGTTATTTTGCAGGCAGTGATGTTGTTACCGGAAGATGATCCGAATCGAATGGAGGAACTACGTAAATATGCTGCCATATATGGTAGATTTGATTCCAAGCGTAAAAACGATAGACCAATGTCTCTACACGAAGTATGTATAATAAACTTCCCTAACATCAAAAATGTAATGGGATCGTTTCCATTAACCCCCCCCCCCCCCAAAAAGAAGGTGCCTGATGAGCAACTTTTTCGCAGCTTTTCAGGGATTACCCAATCTTTTCGGAGGCGGATTGGATGGTTGATTAATTAGCATGTTCACGTTGTATCATAAGATCTGTCATTGAGTCAACTGGTTTCGATTTCCCGGTTGTACTTGACAAGGAGTAGGGTCGCCTGTCCAACGTCTTGGGTTTTCTCCGGGTCCTCCAGGTTCCTCCCTCTGCTAAAGATCCCTATGCTCAAGTATATTATTGGAATAAAATTAAACTATATGTTAGTTCCGAAATGATCAGGTTTTTGTCTTGTGGATGTTAAACCCCATCTCTCTCTCTCTCTCTCTCTCTCTCTCTCTCCTGAAGACATGTTATTCTCCAATGACACAGTAAAGCATTTTTGCAATTTTCTTGGACATTTGAACTCTATACAGATCTATATTTCAGTTCGATTTTTTTATACTTTTAATGGCCTAGATCACATGAAGATCTGACCGGTTGTAGTGGAAGGTGGCGCTATAGGTCATATGAGCGGCTTTTGAACTATAAAAAACTAAACGAAATAAGATCTGTTTTTTAATTAGATTAACCCCATTTCATTTCATTTCCTTGATGTTTTTCTTCAGATGTCTGTAAATGAAGCCTCTGCTCAGCTGTGTCGGTATATGCCATCGTTGTTGACAAGGAGAGAAGATTTATTCCCCTTGGCGCGACAAGTTGTACGAAACAGTGGCTATCAGTATTCCAAAGGTCATTCCAGGTGAGTCTGCAAAAACGAGTTTATTTATTCTATAGATAAGGTGTACCAGAAAGATTTATATCTGAATCTGTTCACGATTAATCAACAAAAGAGGTAATATTACTTCCATGAGACTACCTGGTCTTAAGTAAGTCCGATGGGGTTGTTGTCGGTTAAGACAAGTACTCGGGATACCCTTTGACACCACTGACAAGTACTCGGGATACCCTTTGACACCACTGACAAGTCCCCGGGATACCCTTTGACACCACAGACAAGTCACTGGGATACCCTTTGACACCACAGACAAGTCCCCGGGATACCCTTCGACACCACTGACAAGTACCCATGATACCGTTCGACACCACTGACAAGTCCCCGGGATACCCTTCAACACCACTGACAAGTACCCATGATACCGTTCGACACCACTGACAAGTCCCCGGGATACCGTTCGACACCACTGACAAGTCCCCGGGATACCCTTCAACACCACTGACAAGTACCCATGATACCGTTCGACACCACTGACAAGTCCCCTGGATACCCTTCGACACCACTGACAAGTCCCTGGGATACCCTTCGACACCACTGACAAGTCCCCGGGATACCCTTCGACACCACTGACAAGTCCCCGGGATACCCTTTGACACCACTGACAAGTCCGCGGGGTAACCGTCGGCACCATTGACAAGTCCCCTGGATACCCTTCGACACCACAGACAAGTCCCCTGGATACCCTTTGACATCATTGACAAGTACCCGAGATACCCTTCGACACCACTGACAAGGGGAAACCAATCCAGACAATCTTGAGAGACTTTCTCAGTCAACACCAGGATCAAACCTGTGACCTCCGGGTCATATGCAGATTGTGTATTAAGGGTTACGCTTGGTCCAGGGTTAGGGTTAGCAAGGAGAAGGCTAGATTGGAGATTGTGCGTTAAAGGTTAGGCTTGGTCCAGGGTTAGAGTTAGGGGTAGCACTAGCTCTGTTTACATCTATTGGACGAGATCTGCAGGTCCTAATCCACAATCCACATCCACGTCATATGTGCTAAAATGTGCCGGACAGCCTTTACGATCCAGCATACTCGGCTTAGCAAGCCACTGCTGCACTGACAATGTTAGGTTCTTGTCATAGCGTGACTTCTGCGTTACAATATCTGAGGGGTTTTTTGGGCTGGGATGTTGAAACTTTCTATTTTGAGATTTTAATTCTTAGAACTTCATTTGCTACCAATAAATGAAATTATTAATGAAAGTTGAGTGAGGTTGAAATACATCTTTCTGGTACATATTTTTAGATAGTTCACAATTAAAAACCAAAAAAAAAAAAAATTGTTTTCTGTCACCTGCTGTTTAAGTGAAAGGAAAGTTCCGCACATTCATAACAAAAAAAGGAGAGGAATGAAACTTAACGTCGTGCTTGAAAAGAAGAAATTGTTATATTTTTATTCCTTTGGTGATGGGATTAGGATGTCTAGTGGTTTAACGTGTACACATGAAAACGCATAGTCTGTCATGGAGTTAAGTGGTTGGATTTTATTGCCCGCTTGAATGTGACAAGGAGTAGAGTCACCTGTCCAACCTCATGGGTTTTCTCCGGTTTCCTCCCACTGATAAAAAGACCCCTACAAGCAAGCGAATTATTGAAATAAAATTGAACCATGTGTTAGTCCCGAAATGAACCCCATCTCAATAGTAAAATAAATTCTCGGTCAAATATTTTATATTACAATTTGTAATAAACTATAACACATACTTATGGAAGAACAATTACTGATTTATTTGGGCGATGTTTTGAAGAGTATTCTCTCAACGTTTTCAAGCAAGTCGCCTAACAATTACTGATTTATTTAGGCGACATTTTGAAGAGTAATCTCTCAAAGTTTTCAAGCAAATGTTGCCTAAATAAATCAGCAATTGTTTTTTTCCATAAGTGTGTGTTATGGTTTATTGCTCTATCCAGTTACTAAATGCCTTTAAAAGATCATTACAATTTGTGGATGACAGAAAAACAATTTAGTTTTTTTTTAATTTAATTATGGTTAGCTTGAATGTGGTCTATATATTTATATACATATAGCTTTTCTTTTTAATTTTAATTAGTGAGGTTCTGCAGGCAGTACAAACTCTGAACTATGAAGTATTTTTGTGCCAACGTCATTACTCCATGTGGTGTCATTGACATAAGCAACGTTCGGTTCGTCCATTTTCTACAAAGAAATTGGGACAAGTTGGTGGTTAAAAAACGAAGTACAAAATCGTGATTTTGTCGCAGATTTGTAGATGAAATTCGTATTTTTGCTGATTTATGGAAAGCTTGAACAATTCAGTGGAAGGTTGATCAGCGTCAAAGTTGTTCTGATTTTGGGCATATTTTCGGTCTGTGAAATTTGTTTTTTTTCGACAGTCGGCGATATACTGTGGAACTAAACATCGTACTTCGTAAATGAAAATCTGTCAAAAACAAAGTAAGAGTACAAAGCCGTGTTCGTAGTTCATACTGGTTGCGGAACCTCTCTATTATTAAATATGTAACTCTTAATTCTTTTGTTTAATACTATCTAGTCTGTTCAGTGTTTTATTTCTGTTTCTCGAAACAAACAGATTCTGCTTTCTAGAATCATATTATTTAAATATTGTTGGCATGTCCTTTAACAAAATTGATGCATTTGTTATTTTTTCTAATCTTTATATATATATGGTTATAACACAAAATAGATAGGAAGCGTTATGTTTATTATTTTAATTATTATCAAATATGGGTTAGGGTTAGTTAATCTACTGTGATAGATGTCAACAGATATGTACACGAGTAAAAAAAAAAGTATATTGCATTATAACAAGAATTTGGGTTAAACATACATTATGGAAGAACTAAAGCTGCCTATTACAGGTCTTTCTTTAGGCCTGAAATGTTATCTAAATTATTAATTAGACATTTATTAACTTATCCCTGCGATGTTTAATGAATTAGGTTCCTATTTGCTGTTCGACGTCAATTCCTGATTTAATCATGAAATGGATAATCAAGACTATGTTTTTTATTGTACCGACTTTAGTAATGATGATCGAGGCTAGGTCGAAAATTCAATCTCTAAAATCGCGGTTCAGAGTGGATCAATTTAACTGAAATTTTCAGCAAATTCCCTTTACATTATGTAGTTTTTAACTATTATAGTGAGATCTGCCAGCTCTTTATCTAATCTCCCATAAGGTATGTTTAAGGAATCCCTGATTTTGATGTAAGCATATTTACAGCATATATAGAGCACCCTTTCATATAACATGTTCAGGGGCACTTTACAAAGTGACAATGTAATCATAAATAAACAACAAGATTATGGAAATGTTAAGAAGAAATATACATAATCAAAAATAGGCCCTAAAAGTATCCATTACATCTTAATGTACAGATATTTGGGTTAGATAATATCCTGATGTTGATGTAAGCAGACATTTAAATATGGTCTAAATAGTATTTAATACATCGTAATCTTCGGCCTTGGATGTCAACAGACGGTTAATTAGTTCAGTTGGGAGATTGAGTTTTCATGTGATCGAACAAGGATTTGAGCGTCGTCCGCCCAAACGTGCGTGCTTTCATCGTATCATATACCTAAAGTTAGTCCTGAAACGACCTGCTTATAGCGGATCGGTCTTGAACATTTCAGGGGGAATAACAATCATCTTGTGTTAATTCGAAAGCACATTAGCTCAGTGAATATGACGCCAATTCTATAATCAGGATTTCTCGGTTTCAATCATGTCCGTGGTTCGGGGCCTGGCAAGGAATAAATTGTTTAGTTGTTTGCCTAGATTGGACCTGTTGATTGCGTCGGGGGAATCACTGTGGCTATGTGGGTAAGACGCTGGCTCGCTAGGCTGGAGGTCGGGTGTTCGATCCCTGCATTGGCCGAGAAAGTTCATCCAGATTTTCCGGCGGGGCTCCCCCTTGTCAGTGATACAGGATGGAGGGCCTGACAAGGACAGCTGTCTAATCGTTCAGATGGTACGAAAAACTGAGGTCCCATGTATACATTGGCGTGCACGTAAAAGATCCCTTGACAGTTGGAATTCAATATAAGAGTAGGCCGTAGTGCCGCTGTCCGGGCAAAATTTCCCTCACAGCGCACTGTATGGCGTATGCCCATCTTCATTAGCCCAGTTCGGAGCAGAACAGTAGGACGTTAAACATTTCGTTGATCTCGTCAGAGTTCAAATAAACGAAACTCTTGCGCGCGTTGGAATTTGATTAAAAGTAGACGGGAATGCCGCTGTCTGGGCAAAATGTCTAAAGTATGCTCATCATCATCCTTAGGATGTTAACCTCCGTTTCATTTCATTTTAAACCCGGCATTATGGGACATTCTTTATTTGTTTTTTTCTTACTTATGAGTTAATTGGCATGTGCATGATTTCTTTGTCAGTAGATTTAGAAATAAAATTATTATTTTGTAAAATGTATTAATTATGTATATATTCTGTATTTACACATGTTTTCATGATTTGATAATTCTACTATTATGTGATCAGGTTCAAGGAAATATTTTAAGAATAAAGTCATTTCATTGGTTGAGAGATGAGAGTGGTTTTAAATCCTAACCAATGAAAAGATTGTATTCTTACTACATTGTAGTTCAGGTTTCTTGAATAAGGCTCCCATGACACTCACCGAGTTTCTGTTTAAAATCTACCTGTATTTTTACTATTCAAACAATTGGTTTTATTTGTGAGGTATTTTCTCTTATTAAACAAGGGGGTGGTCTAACACATGTGCTTGGATCATAAGGTCTGTCATTGAGTCAGCTGGCGTGGTTTCGATTCCCCGGTTGTACATGACAAGGAATAGGGTCGTCTGTCCAACCTCGTGGGTTTTCTCCGGGTCGTCCGGTTTCCTCCCACTGTTACAGAACCCTACTCATAAGTGAGTTATTGAAATAAAATCATAGCTTATGTTAGTCCCGATATGACCTAGTTTGTGTCGAGTGTCCTAGAAATAGTAAGACTGCCCTAGCTCATGCTCGAAACTTGGCGATTGAGGGGGGATTTTATCCAAAAAGGTAGATTTTAGAAAGAAACTCTTGGACTGCAGATGGCGTGGTTACAGGGTTCACAAGGAATTTGTGTCGATTGTTTATAAATTGCATGAAAGATCCCTTAACCCCTTGTTCCCATCGTTAGTGCACATAAAAGATCCCTTGACAGATTAGGCGTTGAGTCGTTACCATATAGATAACTATGATCAACCCAGGGAAATTGTTAGAGAGACATTGGACCATGTTCCATTTTGATTTCTTATAATACGCTGAGTCAAATTTGTTTAACCCTTTTCAAGATTTCGGAGTTTGTATAACAGGAAATTAGATTTAAACCCTTCCACCCCCCACTCACCACACCTATCCCCTCCATGTTCCCACCACACCCCACCCCTCCATGTCTTGATGTGTCCAGTAGGGTGGAAAGTACTTACAAGCTATTACGTCCAAGCCCATGTAAATTTGACACCCACGCCGATGCAGGTGACGTCTAATTCTTATAGAAATTAGACTTAAATTCCTTGGAACCCCTCCACGCCCCCCCCCACCCACAAAACCTATCTCCACGTCCCCACCTCACCCCTGACACAGTTCATGTTGAATTAACTGATATGATTGTATTAGTAAGTGCAGGATGACCGCACACCACACAAACAAAACCCAATAGTAAGACGAGCGCACGGACAATAGGATGAACAAACATTGCAAGTAAATCAGATAAATGGATCCGGACGCCAGCCGTTGGCGTCCACTCCTGAGCTTGTAGTTGTATTCAATCTGATTAAAACACAGATCCTATTTCGTTTGGTTTTTTTATACTTCAAAATTTCGTTTTACTTGTCTTTACTACACTAGGATCTGAAAGAGTTGTTATATAACCCGCGTTCTTATTGATGTAAGGGATTAGCCAATGAAACGATCTGTTACGGCGAGTTTTTGGCGTGAGGTGCATGGAACTGTGGGTAAACCACTAGAAACATCAACATTGATTGATTAATCAAATGTCTGACGTCATAGGGTCAAAAGTCGCCCTTACGACCCCTAACGCAACCTTCCACTACAACTGGTGAGATCTTCATGTATTAGAGGCCATCGGAAGTATAAAAAAACAAAACGAAATATAGCTCTGTATTTTAATCCGATTGACCAGAAAGAATTATTTCAGTTCTAAGAATTGAGGCTTACGTTATTGAAAATTCCAATTTTTTTTTGTTCAACTGTTTGTTGATAACGTTAAGACAGATATGGCTGTTTTTAAACGAATATGTTATTTGTAAACTTTTGTATCTAGGTTGAAATCTTACGAGAATGGATTCAATGAAGCCACCACAAAAATGTAAGCGGATAATATTAATTATTTATCAATGTACTTTTGTATCATTATTGTTTCTCTATCTCTGTCTTTTTCGGCTAAAGTTTTTAAAAAAAAAAAATGGAAATTAATTTTTCTGTTTTTTGAGAATCCAGCTAATTGTTTACTTTGTTGTTTTTTTTCTCTTTTTCGGCTAAAATAATAAATTTTTCTGTTTTGATTTTAAAATAAGATATGTATTTTTATATGAGAAGCCAGATAATGGTTTCGTTTGGTTATTTTGATCTATTTTCCTCTTTTTCGGCTAAAAAGAAACTGGAAGTTAATTTTTTTTTTCAGTTTTTGGTTTAAAATAAATCTGTATTTTTTGATGGATTATTTTGATCTATTTTGTTGTTTCTATTTATTTCTAATTAACCGTACTCTCTCTTGTTCAATTATTGTCATGTTCCAAGTTTTTTATTAGAATGTTAATGTTAATTTCTTATTTGATGGAACAAATAAAATCAATGCAAACTGCTTTTTAATTGAATTCAAAACAGATTTTTGTTGAATTACGTTTTTTTAATTTCATTGTAGACATTAATTGTAGTTAGTCTGAATAATGATGTATGTAAAATGTTGTAATCCTTGAGCAAACCAAATGTATCTGATCGTCATTTCAGTGATCCGACGTGGTTCCCCTTGTTAGTGGTGCAGGACAGAGGGCCTGACAAGGACAGCTGTCTAGTTGTTCGGATAGGACGAAAAACCGAAGTCCCATGTATACATTGGAATGCACATAAAAGATACTTTGGCAGTTGGAATTCTATATAAGAGTAGGCCATAGTGCCGCTGCCTGGGCAATTATTGCCCTCATAGCACACTGTATGGCGTATGCCCGTTTCCTTTAGCAGAACAGTAGGACGTTAAACTCCATTTTATTTTCATTTCAGTTGAGTTCAATCTCTAAAAACATTATCCATTAAAAAAATGGTTCAATTTCATTCTTTATTTACAAAGATATTGGGGGGGGGGGGGGCTTCAACACTCCTAGCCCCCTTTGGTTCTGACGGCCCCACTGCAGGAACTGGTTGTTCTTGAGACAAATTTTAAAATGATATGGGAACTGGTTATTCACGGGAGGTTGGATGGCTGAATGGTTAGCAATTGCACGCTTATCATAAGGCCTGCCATTGAGTCAACTGGCGTGGTTTCAATTCCCCAGTTGTATGTGACAAGGAGTAGGGTCGCCTATCCAACCTTGTGGGTTTTCTCCGGGTCCTCCGATTTCCTCCCACTGCTAAAGACCCCTACGCGCAGGTGAATTATTGAAATAAAATTGAACCATGTGTTAGTCCCAAAATGACCTAGTTTGTGTCAAGTGGATGTTAAACCCCATCTCTCTTTCTCTCTCTTTCTCTGGTTATATAAAGGGTTAATTCTACATTTATCTATCCATGACAATATTTCATATTTTACAGAATTCACTATTTTTATATTTGTAAATTATTGGTTGACAAGCCAGGACAGGGGTTTATTGTTTAATTTGTTTTTCGTACAAATTTATAATAAGGGTTATAAAAGCATCAATTTTGTTTTAAAAGGACATCAAATTTAAACATTGAACTTCATAAATGCATTTTTCTTGTATTTAATTTGAAGTTAATGTTTCTATCCAAATATATATTATTGTTTAAGTTCCGAAGTAATGCTGATTTTTTTTTGTGTTCGATTTTTGTTTTGCTGTGTGCTTGTGTTTCTTGCAATCGTCTTCTTCATCCAGATTCTAGCTTCCTGAAACTAAACGAAATACAGAGGGATGCTCGTTTGTCAGTCTGTAACATTCCAAATTGGCGGAATTCAGTCACAGTTGGGTGGGGGCGTTGGGTTGGGGCGTTGGGTAGTCTACTGGTTTCATAAGGTCAATCACTGAGTCAGGTGGCTTCGGTTCCCTGCTTATATATGACAAGGAATAGGGTCGCCTGTCCAACCACGTGGGTTTTTTCCTGGGTCCTCCGGTTTCCTCCCAGTGTTAAAGACCCCTAGCGCAATCAGATTATTGAAATAAAATTGAAACATATGTTAGTCCCGAAATTACCTAGTTTGTGTCGAGTGGACGGTAAACCCCATTTTTCTCTCTCTCTCTCAGTTGTTGGGACTGGCAGAAGTGTGACAGAACTGACTTCCACACCGCTCCATGTCAATTCAGGATATTCGTGACTGACAATGAGCATCCCAAAAATCTTAATTCTTAGTCCAAGGGAGATAATTGAGAAATGTATTTGGTTTCATTCTTTCCAGAGTGTATGTTACATTTTCAAGTGGGACCACAGCAGATTTTAAGGATAACTGGGATTAAAGTTCAGACTATGCTTACAGTTATGTAGTTTGTTCTTTTCCTTTCAGAATTTAATGTTTTGGAAAGGGCTGCACACTGTATTCATCCTAGAGTTTCCATGGAGATTTCTTGTACTCCATTTTGTTATTATTTACGTTGAATAACATTATTTATATTTTATATTTTCAGGGGAGCCGATATAAAGAAGTTAAAACCCGACAGTATGTCCCCGAAACAATCAGAATACGATAGATTACAGAGAGAGGTAATTTCATTGTCCCTTTAGATCAAGTGGATTGGTTTCGATTCACAGCTTGTACGAGACAACTGCATGTTTTTTGTAGCTGGGTCCTCGGATGTCCGGGGGGTTGGATTGCTGAATGGTTAGCATGCGCGCGCTGTATCATAAAGTCTGTCATTGAGTCGACTGGCGTGGTTTCGAATCCCTGGTTGTACGTGACAAGGAGTAGGGTCGCCTGTCCAACCTCGTGGGTTTTCTCCGGGTCCTCCGGTTTCCTCCCACTGCTAAAGACCCCTACGCACAAGCGAATTATTGAAATAAAATTTAAAAACCATATGTTAGTCCAGAAATGACCTAGTTTGTGTCGAGTGGACGTTAAAACCCATTTCTCTCTCTCCATCCCTCCGGTGTCCTCCAACTGCTAAAGACCCCTATGCATAACGTTTAGATCATAAGGTCTGTCATTGATTCAAGTGGATTTGTTTCGATTCGCAGCTTGTACGTTACAAAGAGTAGTGGTCGCCTGTCCTCCAGCTTCCTCCCACTGCTAAAGAACCCTACATGCATCTGAATTATTGAAATAAAATTGAACCATATGTTAGTCCCAAAATGACCTAGTTTGTGTCGAGGGGACGTTAAGGGCAATTGACTAATATGAATATAAAATACAGCAAGACGACTTGATCATCAACATCTTACCCAATATAGATAACAAAAACTAATAAAAGTCAAATAAGTTGCCATGGAAACACAAAAATCATTTAATCCGAGAAACTTCTAACCTCAAAAAGACCAAACTGTGGACATAACAGACAAGATACACAGACGACATTACAAGCAATAAACAATAAACATCAAATCATGTGAATAGATATTATGTTATGGATTATTGTTTTATGTGATTGGGGGTTGGATGGCCGAATGGTTAGCGTGCGCATTGTATCATAAGGTCTGTCATTGAGTCAGCTGGTGTGGTTTTAATTTCCCGGTTATAGTGACAAGGTTGCTTGTCCAACCTCGTGGGTTTTCTCTTGAGTCCTTCGGTTTCCTCCCACCCTGAAAGTTCCCTACACGCAAGGAAATTATTGAAATAATTTGAATCAGACTCGAAATGACCTAGTTTGTGAGTGGAGGTTAAACCCTCTCTCTCTCTCTCTCTCTCTCTCTCTCTATCTCTCTCTCTCTATTTATTTGATGTGTTTTTGTTCCCAGGAGAGACTGACCGCCATTAATACAGAATTTCTCAAACTGAAAAGTCAAGTGAATAAAGTTGAGAGAGAAATTGAGGAAACACAGGAATCAGGAGACGTAGACAGACTACAGAAATTAAAAGCCGAGATGGATTCGTGTAAAACGCAACAAATGTACTTGATGAAAGAACAGAGTGAAATAATACGCAGACAGAAAAGGTATGATCTGTTTTAAAAATGTCTTCCTATAACACACCGACTGGGCTAATGAAGATGGTATGGTCAGTTTTAAAAATGTCTTTCGATACTGTGCCAACTGGACCGAAGAAAATAGTATGGTCTGTTTTCCAAATGTCTTCCTATATCGCGCCGATTGGGCTAATGAAGATGGTATGGTCAGTTTAAAATAACTTTGAATTAAATAAGATAGAAGTGTTCTCATGGGTGCTGTAAAATTGACCGATAATGTATATCTATGTATTTAATGGTCGACCATTTTCTCACAGGGCGTGCGAAACTTTCTGCAAAGCCCCCCCCCACCCGCCCCAGTTACGGGCCTGGTTTGAAAGAAATGAAATACTGACGAACATCCTACTTTTCTGTGCCGACTAGACAAGCGCTATGCTGTGTGCTATGCTGTGTCGACTAGACAAGCACTATACTGTGTGCTATGCTGTGCAGACTAGGCAAGCGCTATGCTGTGTGCTATGCTGTGCAGACTAGGCAAGCTGTGTGCTATGCTGTGCAGACTAGGCAAGCTCTATGCTGTGTGCTATGAGGGAAACTTTGCTTTGACAGTGTCTAACTCTTATTTCGAATTACTTTGTGCTTATTACTGATATATAAACAACAATAATATGTTTGTTTATTTCAGATATTTAATGAAAAGAAACGGTGAATTAGGTTATGATGGTGAAGGTACGTTTAAAATTGTTACACATTATTGTCCCCTGCCTTTCAAAGAAAACTGTTAGGGACTGTAAAAAGGAGTTCATCTTTCTGTCTGTGACATTTTTTAGGACACAAAGTGAGCTAGAATGTACAAATTTGGTGTAGGTATCCACATGCCTTGACTACGCAGTGATAAGCCATTTTATTGGTCGAAACTAGTTGCACATGTATACGTGAGTGAAGTATAGTGCCTTCAGTCCAAAATTACACTCATATTCAAAGTTGGTAAAAATTAGTCAAAGTACACAGACTTTATGATCACCAGGGTAAGACACCCGAGTAGCTAGCGTTTCCATGACTATGTTGTGTAAAGTATACACATCACTAGTGTAAGCTTGGCTTTAATGGTGTACATTGCTGATAAAACAAAGTTAAAGATACATTATGTAAGATTTAGATAAAGAACAAGCCATTCTTGCTATAATAGTTCGAAAATAGATCATGTAAAATGAATAATTTGAAAATTTCATTCAAAGTACTCTTTTGCGAGCGGAGATATTAGTCTTTGAAGGTTTGACAAGACGTCTGCAATATTTTCAACCATCGTACTGGTTTTTCGAAGCTAAGACTCGCTCCTCCATTTTTAGCTTAAATCAAAATATGGCTAGAATATCGGAGAAATCCGATGACATTGAGAGTTGATTAAGGTCTTTTCATGTTAGTAAGTGTCTAATTAATAGTTTATATAATATTTAAGGCCTAAAGAAAGACCTGCAATATGTAGATTTAGCTTGCATAATGTATGTTTAATAAAGACGAGCATACATCAAGTAGTGTGCTATGAGGGATCTTTAACACGCAGCACTGAGGGACTAGACATTTTGATTTGCCAGACTCTCCTTATGGGAAACCAGGTTTGAAAATCTTGAGAAATTTATTTTGGCCAGCACGGGTCCTCGAACCCAGGACACATCATAGTTAATAAGCCATACTGACTAAACCAATGTGGGATGTGGCTGCCACCTATAAGCACAGTTGCACAGAAATGAAACAAAAATTGAATTTGACGCTGAACCCCATTACTTTTGAGGATATGGGGTTTATCGTCCGACTTATCTCCGCCAAGTGGGCTAATTAAGACAGGCATACACCATACAGTGGGCTACGAGAGAAACTTTGACCAAACTGTCAAGCGCTTTTTTAAGAGCACACCAATTTGTACACAGGACCTTGGTTTTGCATCCGATCCGAATGACTAGACACTGTTTCTTGCTACGTCCTCTGTCATGCACCACTAACAAGGGGAAACCACTTCAATGAAAATTATAATTGATCAAATTGTATGTTTTCAGATTATTCCTCCAGTCGGTCTCCTAATAATTCTAACGACAGTTTTAGTTCGTACTACACGGCCATCGCTGACAGTACACAAGCTACAGGACGATTTTTACAAGATACGCTTTTTGACGAAGGATTACGCATTGCTCAACAGTATGGAATGTCTGGTTTCGCAGAGGAATTAAAAGAGCTGCAGTCATCGAAACCAGCTTCTAGCATTGATGGAGAGAACTCCGGCAGTAGTGACGATAATTCGGATAGCGGGATGGAAGACGGACAGAATAAGAAACGGAAATTAGAAGTTGAAGAGGAAGAGGTCAATAATATAAAGCATAGTAAATCAGGCAATGGTGCATTTGACGTTCCGAAACAAAATGGTGAACATTTGATAGTGTGTAATACAAACTCAGTGAAGGTTGAAAACGGTGATTTAACGATTTAACGAATTGCCTGACCTCTTGTCTCAATATTACGTAAATTACGTGTTAAATGTTTTTGTTTTTCTCTCTTGTAAATGAACATCCTACATCGTCGCGTGCTCATTTCTATTCATCTATATCGTCATGTATTGTCACCATGGTAACTAGATCAAGATGGTGGATATTTTGATGGTCGTTCTTCCAATAATTGTCATATATATATATATTATATTTATCAATCAACCAATCAAATCAGTTGATATAATCACAACTCTATCTATATCACGATTATGTCACGATTTTCCTTGTATTCAACTTTGAATTTTTTTTTTTAAATTTAGTAACTTTTTGTCAGGTTGATGGAAAAACAAAAATGAACCTTAATCTTCACTTTACTCATTCACGCTGTTTGGTGAGTATTTGGTATAACTTCCAAATGGCAACCAGCGAACTACAAACTGCATGTCGTTCAGTTTGTTTATTCTGTTACTGCGACACCATTGTTAATGTCGCGAATTACGGACGACCAAAACAAAAAGGATTATGAATCTAATAATTTTTTCACAGCAGTTTGTGGTTTGGAAATTTGATCAAACGCCAGATTGTACATGTACTCTGTAGGACTGGTCGTACTGTAGGCGTGTGAAGATCATCCAGTCCATCGTACTGTAGACGTGTCAAGTCCATTGTACTTAAGACGTGTGATGATCGTCCAGTCCATCGTGAACACATGTATCATGTTCCCTGTAGGATTGGTCGTACTGTAGACGTGTGAAGATCATCCAGTCCACTGTATTTTAGACATGTGATGATCATCCAGTCCATCGTGAACACATGGGGCATGTACGTGTAATGTAGATTGTAAACGAGTACGACACGGACCAGGAACCAAGCATCACGCCATTGCCACCATCTTGACGTTATATCAAAAATCGCGTCAATCAATGCGCAAGGGTCCAAGGAACAGGTGTACAAAGTTTCATGTCGATCGTACTTCAATTGGTGGGACGTTAGGCTATTTTTCATGAGTAGCGGTTGGGGCATTAATTTAACACATAAACACATGGATCGCCAGAAACTGCTTCATCTACAGCATCAAATCGCTCTGTCAAGTGAATAACTGTGTGTTACAACACTGTAACCCGGGTATCATTTAATCTTATGTATTCAGCATTAATTTCTTTCACATTTGTTTAATATCAAATCTTTGTTTGAAAATTTGTAAGAATCACTTAATATCATCTGATTTGTACTTGTGTCCTGTTCTGTGACTTGGCGCTTTGAGACATTGTCTAGGGTGAAGTCACACTGATCAGCAGTGAATTTTCACTAGGCCGCTACAATCACTGATCAGGATGACATCGATGTGACTTAATAAGTCCCAAATATTAACTTTTTTCCTTAGACAAATATAATTCTAAAACATTTTTTTTTTATGTATTAGAAAAATAAAGACAGACGTTTGAATTATTTGTAGGTAAAAATTATTTCCTATTGAGAGTAAATGGGTATTAAAATAAGTATAATTCACCATTTAGCCTGAATCAGTAACGTCTTATGTAAACAATGCATGCGCTAATGATTGACGCCGCGTGATGTGACGTCACATGTCGAAACAGTCATCTGTTACAAAGATATTAGAAGATTGGGGTGAAGTAGTTTTGGGCGATTTCGTGAAATGGGCTACAAGGAGCTGGAGTACTCTATATCTACTTGTACCAAATACGAAAGGGTTAAAAATGTTGTACGACTTTCTTCACATAACTTGAACAAGCCTGGATATAAAGTACCTGTCACAGATTATTATATTATAACATATACCTTATATGATGACCGGGGGTTGGGTGGCTGAATGGTTAGCATGTGCGCCCGGTACCATAAAGTCTGTCATTGAGTCAACTGACGTGGTTTCGAATCCCTGGTTGTACGTGGCAAGGAGTAGGGTCGTCTGTCCAACCTCGTGGGTTTTCTCCGGGTCCTCCGGTTTCCTCCCACTGTTAAAGAGGCCTATGCGCAAGAGAATTATTGAAATAAAATTAAACCATGTGTTAGTCCCGAAATGACCTAGTTTGTGTCGAGTGGACGTTAAACCCCATTTCTCTCTTTATATGATGATTTCTGCCTGACAAAGTCGATGTTGTTCTTGGCTGGCACTGAGAGTGATATCGCAGACAAATTGTCATATTTTCATTATGATTATCATAATGCACGCTCACACCAGGGATCGAAACTATGACCGCAAGCCAAAGATGACCGGTCAACTAGAGCTTGAAGTGTGACACTCTACGCCATGGCAATACCCCGCCTAACAGGTGCCCTATGTCCAGGCTTGAACTTGAAGCTGTTTTTATACGCCCACATTGAAATGTGGTTGTATATTGTCGTCGCCCCCGTCCGTCCGTCCGTCCGTCCTGCGTCCACAATTGCTTGTGGACGCTCTAGAGGCTAAAGTTAATGTCCGATTGACTTTAAATTTATATACAGTGTTTCAGGCCATGAGACGAAGAAGCCTATTGATTTTCAGCGATTTCCGATCATTACTGCCAGAGTTATGGCCCTTGATCACTTCAAAAAATCTTGTGGACGCTCTAGAGGCTAAAGTTAATATCCGATTGACTTTAAATTTATACACAGTGTTTAAGGTCTTGAGACGAACAAGTATATTAATTTTCAATGAATCTTTATGACTTGAACAGCTAAATCCATGATGTTAAAAGTTTCGTATGCTTTTCTAATGGTTTTCTGATAATTACTCAATGAGTTGTTACTCTTAATCAGATTTTAATGTATTATAAATGTTTCATTACCGAAAAAAGTAAAAACATGCGACAACTCTTGTTGACTGCCCGGACGATATAGCTGCTGTGGGCATATGTTTCGTTGCCTGGCAACCTATCTTTGTTTTTATTATTCTCCGACAGTGAGAGAAATTTTAAAATGTCTTATGTAGGTATATTTTATTGACGACTGCTGTGGATGTAAATGATTAGTTACGATGTTACTAAAAGGAGATGTTTTATTTAATAATATGTTGATGGTATTATCCTGATTGTCATGTGATTGTCATGTGATCGTCATGTGATTGTCATGTGATCCGTTGTTTAATCATCAGTGTGATTTGTGTAAATACAAGGAAAACATTATATTTACATAATTTAAAAAAAAAAATATGGGTGTAATCGGTTGATGCCAACATCAGTTTTATAGTGACGTCGTAGTGTATTTATTACCGCTCGACTCATTTTATTATCACATGAATATTTCTTCGGCTTTATTCTCTTAAATTTTAAAAGTTTCTATTATTAAATGAAATTGTTTGAGATTATATATCAAGGCCCTGTTAATTGCCAGTTTTTAAATTTCTTATTCAGTTTTGCTGCCTTCTTTTGCGTTATTTTTTTAATTTATTTATAGAAAACACTTTATTTATCTGTAAGAAATTATGTAGCCAGTTATTTTTATTTATTTTTTTTTTTCATGTGTAGTTGGACAAACAGAAACAGTAGATTATATAAATATATATATTAACTTATAAACAAACAAACGTACATCAAATCGTGGAAAATTTTGTCTCAAACGTTTTTAAAACTTTGTATTATTATGGTCGTGTAGTAGCTACATGTATGTACTGTTTATATTTCTAGTAATAATTTTATTGTACAGACACCCCCCCATTTCCCCCTCCCCTCCCCCCACAATCCCCTTTCTTTCATCCCCTATTTCATCCCAGCCACGGCTCAGTTATATTTACTATTCAGACCTGACCGTTATTGAAGGTGACTGAGAAAATTATCTTAACTTTCAGACATGAAATTGGATTGTTTTTAAATCGAATTAACAGTTCAATGACATAAAGTTATTGGATAATTGTGGGCCTGGGGCCCGTTTCACGAAATTTTAACTAAGATAAAATCCAAATTTTAGTAGATTGATTGGATAATATTAGATTGATTTTAGCGCTTAGCCAATCAAAATTTAAGTATCTACTAAAATTGGATTTTATTTTTAGTTAAGATTTCGAGAAACGGGGTTCATTTATATGTGTAGATCTATAAGTGGGTTTTTTTTTTCATTTTTTTGTTAGTTTGGTAAAAAAACTTCAAATTTGGTTTAAAACTTTCAAATATTTATAAAACAACGAAAATGTGGCTTAATTTTCAGTTGTTAAAATTTGATTGATTAATTAAATATCTGACGTCATAGGGTCAAAACCGCTTGTATGACCCCTGACTCGGCCTTCCACTACAACCGGTCAGATCTTCATGTAGTGTAGGCCATCAAAAGTATAAAAAAACAAAACGAAATATAGATCTGTATTATAATCAGACTGTATACCTGACTTCATGTCGCTTGTCTCAAGTTCTAAATATAGAATGTTTTAAAAATGGTGCAACATTTTAAGTTCTATATCTTTTTTTTTTCAATGTTATTAACAGAATTAAAAAGAAAAAACCTAGTCATTTGTAATTATAATAATATATTAAAATAGTTGTCGTGATGATATCTTCACTTGGTTGTTAGCATCAATTATATTTTAGTAAAATTCCGTCTCTACATGGGTACCATGTAAAAGTATTTGATAAATATAATTATTTATTTTATGATCAGTAGTGGAATACCGCGTTTTATCAGTGAAATAAAAGTGTTATTCCACTGGCTAGAAGCGGACAAAGTAGTCCATGTTGCTTTTACCTAAAATGATTGTAAAATCATAAAATAAATAGAACATTTGTCGTTTTGTCGTGAATAACATATCTTATTTCATCTCTAAGCAAGAAAACGTTTATATTTTCACTCATGCTACGCATTCGTGAAAATATAAGTTTTCTTGCTTCTCGATGAAATAAAATATGTTATTCACTCTAAAACGACAAATATCCTCTATAAATTCTAAGGTATAACTGGCTTAAATATGGTTATAAATTCCAAGCTATAACCGGCTTAAATATGATCTGCTACAACCGGCTTAAATATGTTTATAAGTTCTTATCTAAAACTGGCTTAAATATATTTACAAGTTCTTAGCTAAATCTGGCTTAACTATATTTACAAGTTCTTAGCTAAAAGTTTATTGGTTAAGATTTCATTCCCTCACTGAGGAAAGTAACAAACCAAATAAACCTAATTTCAACCCTTTATGGTCCCATTTGGGCTTTAAACCTCCTTTCATTGGATTTGGGCTTTATTTGGGCCTAAATCAAAGAGGTTCAGTTTGTTTTATATCTGTCTTTGTAACTTGAAAGCATGCAAATATATCTGCTTTGACCTTTGTCTTTTGACCTTTGACCTATTGCACCTATATGTAAGTGTGTCAGTGACACCTCCCTACCCCACCCCCACTATGTGACCTATAAATAATTAAATGAATTTATATTGCATAATGACCAGCCAGTAAATATATATCATATTGTATATGTATAAAATAATTTATAAAATAAATTTATTCAAACTTCGTATATTGTTGAGTCAGTTTTTTTCTTACACAGATGGGTGATGTGGTGAGTTTGGGGCTGTCTAACTAAGCAAAGGGGAGAGAGAGAGAGAGTTTAGGGTCCACTCCACACAAACTAGGTTATTTTGGGACTTACATGGTTGAATTTTATTTCCATCGCTTGTGCGTAGGGGTCTTTAGCAGTGGGGGGAAACTGGAGGACCCGGAGAAAATCCACAAGGTTGGACAGGCGACCCTATTCCTTGTCACATACAACCGGAGAATCGAAACCACGCCAGTTGACTCAATGACAGACTTACTGATACAGCGCGAACGTACTAACCATTCGGCCATCCGAAACGGTCGTTCAGCGCTGAACGTAAGTCTCTCTATTCTATATGTTGAGTGCAGGGTCGGATCCAGAAGGTGGTTTTGGGGGTCCAAACCACCCCCTGTTCAACTACATAAAAGCAATTGTAAAACAACACTTTTATGAGAAAAGTGTCACGGCCGTGTGATTTATCCTTTATCATCAGATGGTGGGATGGGATTGACATTCAAAGCGCGAGATAATGATACTGATATATGTGATATCACAATTAATAATTTGCATCAATGAAACTGAATCATCAATGAAACTGAATCACAATGTAATTGTATTAATTCATAATAAAACTTGACGTCAAACGGGGTGTTGAATTTCTCTCTTTAAAAAGTTCAGTGTGCATATACGCCTACTTAATTTAGAGATGATGATGGCATCATGCATTGTCAACTCAAATTTTCATAACCGGAACCCTGCAAACCCCCTCCTGCAAAAATTCCTGGATCCGCCCCTGGAGTGTCAGGAGACGTGCGTTCCATACGAAATCAGTGAAACAGAGGCGGATCTACATAAAATTCCCCATCGACATCAAGGTTAATTCTCGTCTCTTTTCCCTACTCATTCTATTCCCAAAATCTTCCTTGGGCTGAATACTTTTCAGTAACAGCAGAGCAACAAATAGTCATGCCTTTGCACAAAAGTTTGAATTAGGTTGACTACTGAAATTTTGAGATGCACAAACTTTAAGAGGTATAGCATTAAACTATAATACATACTGATGGACGATAATCAACGTTTTCAAGTAATACTCTTCGAAAAGTCGCCAAAATATATCAGTAATTGTTCTTAGGCTATAGTTAAAGTAGCTAAGTCTCTAACTCAATATTATCCAAAATCTTCAACATTAAAAACACGATTTATTTGTCAAATTAAATCAACATTCATGTTGTGATCTTACCGGAAAAAGATGGGCTTTTGATATCCAATATTTAAGACAAAATAAACATTTTACCATTGGTACACGAATCGTGTACCATAATGCGCTTCAGCCCCAGATGTATCAAGAGACTCGATGGACGAGGCTAGACACATTGCACCAAATCAAACGACGTATGTAGACTGGAATAACCAGACGCTAGAAATTTACACTCGCTTGAGACTGCTGGCTTATTTCGCAAACATAACTGATTTGAAATTGGAGTAAAAACGGAAACCATTGAATGTAAATCAGTTTGTATACATTCATATTACATTATTTTATGCGTTGTGACCCACTTTTGTCAATTTCTAGGTCCCAAATGTTAGCAATTTAGCTCCTTTAATCACAAACTTGAAGTAGCATACTAAAAGCTATACACATGGTTAGATCTAATTGATAAGGTCAACTTCAAGTTTGGTCAAAGGTCACAAGATGTAAACAGGGCTGGTGCTAATTCCAACCCTAACCCTAACCCAGGACCTAGCCTTAACGCTTACCCTACAATCTCGCTAATAATCACGCGCCCTAACCTTATTTATATCTCGGCGACCTTGACGAAAATTGAACTGGCCTTAAAGGAGCTAAATCGCTAATATTTTTGATCTAGAAATTGACACAAATGGGTCGCAAAGCATATAATAATGTAATATGAATGTATATAAACTGTTTTACATTCAACCATTTCTGTTTTTACTGCAATTTCTAATCAGTTATGTTCGGCGAAATACGCCAGAAGTCTCAATCGAATGGCAATCTCTAGCGTCTGGTTATTCCACTCTATATGGATTGTATTTATTGCGCATGCTCTCCAGATAAGAATATGGCGTCACCGTTTGACATGACTTGTGGAATATATCTAGCCTCTTTCTACGAGTCCCTTGTTAAAAATGGCGCTGAAATGCACCATGGTACACGATTCGTGTACCAACGGTAAAATGTTTATTTTGTCTTAATTATTGGATATCCTTTCTGCCTTTATTGTCAAAAACTAGCAGAAAATGTCAATCGTAACCTTTATTGAGAGGATTAGGCTACAATTAATGGTGGTCTGAGGACCACGTGGCTAAGTGGGTAAGACGCTGGCTCGCTAGCCTGGAGGTCGGGTGTTCGATCCCTGCATTGGCCGAGAAAGTTCATTCAGATTTTCTGGCGAGGTTTCTCCTTGTCAGTGATGCAGGATGGAGGGCCTGACAAGGACAGCTGTCTAGTCGATGGGACGAAAAACCGAGGTCCGGTGTACACAATGGCGTGCACGTAAAAGATCCCTTGGTAATTGGAATTCGATATAAGAGTAGGCTGTAGCGCCGCTACCCGGGCAAAATTTCCCTCATAGCACACTGTATGGCATATGCCCATCTTCATTAGCCCAGGTTAGGAGCAGAACAGTAGGACGTTAAACCCCATTTCATTTCATTAATGGTGGTCTGCATCCAAATCGAGTGTTTTAAAACAAGAGTGATCTCCCTTATTCCGGAAATAGACGTCTTAAGATTACCCGTAACAATCCCAGGAAAAAATTGTGTTTTCATAAAACTGTTTGTGGAAGTTTTAACAAACAATAATCGCGCGTGACAAATAATTGCGTGTTTTCAATGTCGAAGATTTTGAATGATACTGAGTTAGAGACCTAGCTACTTTAATGTTATGTTAGTAACAAGTTAGTGCGCATCTGCATGATGCGCGTTAAATCGGAAATCTTCTGCACTCAAAAAAGAGAATAGAATATGAATATCATTTTTGTACAGTAAAGAAACAGCCTTGCGTACGTGCAACATTCCTCATAAACTGTTTATATTAACATGCCAGTAGCCGCCTTCATAGGCGCACGGGCTCGATAAATGTTAGGGGGAGAACTTGAATTATACCCTAAAAAAGTTCGACTTACAGACGGCGGCACCGGTCGTCTGCAACAGGTAACTGAGCGGAGCTTACAACCGCAAACGCGCTTTCCTGCCAATTCAAGGTGGTCTAATCGAATTCCAATCTAGCAATCAATCGTTCACAGTCCACGGAGACGGGAGAACATTTTAACTGCCGCAAACGCGTATCCCTGTTATTCCAGCCCGTGAATACAGCAACTCCCAGAAGTTAAAGTAGCGTATCCCAGCATTTCGTGGATTTAAATAAAAAAAAACTGTACAAAACATGCAAAAAAAGATAAACATTTATAGATAGATCAAATAAAGATAACATTTATTGGAGAAGAGATAAAAACAAATTGAAAAACAAAATATGATATATATCACTTTGTTGAACATTGTGAGTTTATTTCCAAAAAATAGGGTGTCTTAAAACCGGGTAAAAAATAAATGTTTTTCTTAAAAGCGATTTAGAAATAGATATGCATAATAAAATTTTGTAGGCTAAAAACTGGGAGTTTATTATATAAAAAAGAGGGTCTTTAAAAAGCGACAATTGAATGAGCTTGCGTTTGGTTGACGATGCAGAAACACGTCTGATAACGATCATAATTTGCTAGGATGGGCCGACAAATGATAACAACAATAGTCTCCGATTTTTAAAGTTGTACAATTGGCGGGGATGAATGTTTTGTAGTAATAGAAGAGAATCGACTATAAATAAAACGAAACGAAATAGGATCGGTGTTTTAATCAGAATGATCATCGGTGGCTTGAATATTCTATTTTCCAATGCTTTAAAGGAGCTAAATCGCAACGCATATAATAATGTCATATGAATGTATATAAACTGATTTACATTCAATCATTTCCGTTTTTACTGTAATTTCAAATCAGTTATGTTCGGCGAAATATGCCAGAATGGCAATCTCTAGCGTCTGGTTATTCCAGTCTACACCGATAGTATTTATTGCGCCTGCCTTCCAGATAAGAATATGGCATCACCTTCTGTCATGACTTGTGAAATATGGCTAGCCTCGTTTTTCGAGTCCCTTGTTACAAATGGCGCTGAAAAGCATTATGATACACGATTGGTGTACCAAAAGTAAAATGTTTATTTTGTCTTAAATATTGGATATCAGAAGCCCATCTTTTCCCGGTAAGATCACAGCATCAATGTTGATTCAAATTGACAAATAATTCGTGTTTTCAATGTTGAAGATTTTGGATGATATTGAGTTAGAGATTTAGCTACTTTAAGACTTGCCTTGATGCATTATATACTCACATTAAGATGGCACATACAGTTCGGATTGTTTGAAACACTGCCATTCGTCTGGTAGAGAATCGCCGACTTGTGGGTGGATAGGCGGAGAAACCGCTGTTTGGGCAAAAATACCCTCCCTAAAGCATCGATGAGAGCTTGATCGATGTAGCACACTGCTGTGATGCCGCCTCCTCTCCCGGACCAAGATTTTGGAACACCAAAGGACCCACTCTCTGGTTCAGGCCGATTCCACCCCAAACCATTATGCTTGGACCTCCCCATGAGTCTCGTTCCATGACACATTGGTCAGAATAATGCTGGCCACGTCGACGCCATATTCTGGCCCTGTCATCTGCAGTTGATACGCAATACCGACTCTCATCTGTGAACAGAAAAGTTCTCCATTGCCTGTGTCGCAAGTTTTGGTGTTGTTGGGCAAACTGTTGACGTTCACGTCGATGGCGAGGGGTGGGGATCGGTCCACGGTAAGGTCTACGGCAATGGATGTTCTCTCTGGTGAGACGTCGGCGCACTGTATCGGTACTGATGGATCTTCCATGTGTTCCCACTGTCCGACGTGCTGTCTCAGAT